ATGCATTTCTTAACAATGTCCTTATTGCTTTTCATCAACATTTTCTCTAAAGTAGAAAGAGTAAAATTCTAGGGTAAAACCAAATCGTTTTTATTCCTTTACTGACTGTACTGTGACTGGAAATGGTAATACAGTATATGTAAAAACTCGTCAGATTAATTTGTTAACGCACTCAAACACAGCGCAACTACAAGAGCCACCTAAAAACAACATTTAAGGCAAAAAAAAAGAAAACAAAAATACATTACGCTGGTATCAATATCCTCTTTTGGGAAAGTCAACACAGGCATGGACCAAATAGCCAGTATGCAGTTGGTTTAACAGACAATTATGACCGGGCTGGAGAGTGTTCTTGCTTGTAGAAAGGTGTCGGGGTCGTCTGAAGGCTGACACACACAAAAAGAAAAATATCTTTAGTAATGAATGGTTAAATTATTTAAAAATCCATATGGCTTTGCGTTTTCTTTCCTCAAGGATGTGAAGCAAAGCCTCACTTGCATTTCCCAACCTCTTGGGTGGAGCCACAGGTGATGGGAATAAGTTTGGCAACGCCTTCACCAGGTTTTCTTCCAGAATGGTCCTGTATTTGGCTCCATCCATCTTCCCACCAATTTTAGCCATCTTCCCTGTCCCTGCTGAAGAAAAGCAGGCCCAAACCATGATGCTGCCACTACCATGTTTGACAGTGGGGATGGTGTGTTCAGGGTGATGAGCTGTGTTGCTTTTACGCCAAACATATCGTTTTGCATTGTGGCCAAAAAGTTCGATTTTGGTTTCATCTGACCAGAGCACCTTCTTCCACATGTTTGGTGTGTCTCCCAGGTGGCTTGTGGCAAACTTTAAACGAGACTTTTTATGGATATCTTTGAGAAATGGCTTTCTTCTTGCCACTCTTCCATAAAGGCCAGATTTGTGCAGTGCACAACTGATTGTTGTCCTATGGACAGACTCTCCCACCTCAGCTGTAGTTATCTGCAGTTCATCCAGAGCGATCATGGGCCTCTTGGCTGCATCTCTGATCAGTCTTCTCCTTGTTTGAGATGAAAGTTTGGAGGGACGGCTGGGTCTTGGTAGATTTGTAGTGGTCTGATACTCCTTCCATTTCAATATAATTGCTTGCACAGTGCTCCTTGAGATTGTTAAAGCTTGGGAAATCTTTTTGTATCCAAATCCGGCTTTAAACTTCTCCACAACAGTATCTCGGACCTGCCTGGTGTGTTCCTTTGTCTTCATGGTTCTCTCTGCGCTTTAAACAGAACCCTGAGACTATCAAAGAGCAGGTGCATTTATACGGAGACTTGATTACACACAGGTGCATTCTATTTATCATCATCAGTCATTTAGGACAACATTGGATCATTCAAAGATCCTCACTGAACTTCTGGAGTGAGTTTGCTGCACTGAAAGTAAAGGGGCCAAATAATATTGCACGCCCCACTTTTCAGTTTTTTATTTGTTAAAAAAGTTTAAATTATCCAATAAATTTTGTTCCACTTCCACTTTTGTTGATTCATGACAAAAAATAAAATTGTATATCTTTATGTTTGAAGCCTGAAATGTGGCGAAATGTTGAAAGGTTCAAGGGGGCCGAATACTTTCGCAATGCTTACTTTTTATATATTTTAAGAAATTTTGTTTTTGTACATGCATTCTCTATGGAATCCAATGGAAATCTTTGATTCTTATCAACTGTGGCTGTTGTTGTAGAATTAAAATGTTGTATACTAATGATTATCAGTAGGTGTTTGCATAAAATGTCTTTGTGCAATATTAAGCCTGGATTTAGTGGAAAAGTAAAAAATGATAAAAGTATCATTTTCAGGAACAGTGTGTCTCTTATCGGAACCAGGCCTGAGACACAAAACTGGACTAGGCCAGACCGGTGTAACGGCGAGATACTCTGCCTTGAAGAGATGCACTGCCTCAGCTGTTTATGATGTAATGCAAACCTGCGCATGCGCGTCTCACGGCAGCCGAAGCATACCAAGATGGCGGACCGTGAATTTCTTTAAAAGTTAAAATACGAACAAATTAAGACACGAATGTCACTTTTAATGCAATTTGAGGCGAGATGTTGATGATTCCGTGTTGTCATATGTGGGTTTTAAGAGTCAAAGTTTCGTGTAAAGTTTAGTTTAAGCAGTCAACTGCGCTTGTGAAACCAAAATGCTAATGTTTTGATAGCAGTCCGCGGCTGCTGACGTAGGCTGATGACGCGTCCTGTGGCCACTCTACAGCTCACAACTGGTCTGTCGGGTTGATAATGGAAAATGGGGAAAAAAATCAATCTAATTGAATATTTTGTTTGAACACACTATTGTTAATCATATTAAATACAGTACGATACATGTATTGAATGAAATGTATTACTTCCATTATCAACCCGACAGACCAGTTTAAGAGTGTAGAGTTGCCACAGGACGCGTCATCAGCCTACGTCAGCAGCCGCGGACTGCTATGAAAACATTAGCTTTGTGGTTTCACAGGCGCAGTTGACTGCTTAAACTAAACTTTGCACAAAACTTTGACTCTTAAAACCCACATGTGACAAAACGGAACCATCAACATCTCGCCTCAAATTGCATTAAAAGTGACATTCGTGTCTTAATTCGTTCGTATTTCAACTTTTAAAGCAATTCACGGTCCGCCATCTACATGCCGTTCCGACGTAACACCGGCGATCCTGATTGTTCGATTATTTTCTGATCTGCTGAACGAGTTTGGTATGCACTTGATCCCAGACCCTTTTGCGTGTAGCGAAATACCTCTGGTGGAGTATGGCGGAACTACAAGGGTCTGGCAAGAGCCAGGCTAGAGGAGCGTGGCTCGGTGTTGAATAAAGCTGTACTCGTGGTCACAAGCACGTCCACAGTGTTGGACGTATTCAACAGCTCATTGGACTGAGGTCTCTGCTTCTCTGTGGTCTGGATCTTCACACATGTTTCTGACCTATGGCTGAGACCAGTTGTAGAGAGAACAAGCTCATTTTGTGATTGAGCTGTAATTGACTGATTTTCTATATGATACACTTTGAGGAGAACGACTTTGCATTGTCAAAAAAAGTTTCAGATCCAGCTGTTGGTCTAACATATAATAATAATAATAATAATATAATGATCTTTATTTGTATAGCACTTTTAACAACAGTGTTTACAAAGCGCTGCACAGTCACCATGATAAACAATAAAAGCAGTCATAATGCAAGGTCAAAATAATTAGATACAGAAACACAAAGCAAACAAAGCAAAACACAAAAGAGACTCAACAAAGACAAAGCAGACAATAAAATACAGCATCGGAAGTTTAAAACTAACAGCTAAAAGCTGTTTGATAAAAGTGGGTTTTAAGAAGTGTTTTAAAAGAGGATACTGATGGTGCTAGCCTTATCTCCTCGGGCAGGTGGTTCCAAAGCCGAGGAGCCCGGACAGAGAAGGCTCGGTCACCTTTCGTCCGGAGCCTCGACCTTGGAACAGTCAACAGGGACCTGCCCGAGGATCTAAGGCTGCGGTGGGGCTCGTATGGGGTTAAAAGTTCAGAAATATAGCTTGGTGCCAGACCTAAACGAGCTTTAAAAGTAATCAGTAAAATCTTAAAATCAATTCTAAAACGCACAGGGAGCCAGTGGAGAGACGCTAAAACAGGGGTGATGTGCTCCCTTCTGTTAAAACCAGTGAGAAGTCTGGCTGCTGCCTTCTGGACCAGTTGGAGGCGGGAGAGGGATTTAGCGTTGAGACCGGAGAGGAGGGAGTTGCAGTAGTCGAGGCGGGAGAAGATGAGGGCGTTGACGACTTTATGGAGATCAGGAGGAGTGAGGATATTTTTAATCTTTGAGATTGTGCAGAGGTGATAGAAGCAGGTTTGGGTGGTTTTATTGATGTAGGAGCGGAAAGTGAGGTGAGAATCAAAAATGACACCAAGGTTACGGGCGGAGGGAGTGATGTTTGAGGAAAGGGGGCCGAGGTGGGTTTAGATGTGGGATATAGATGGAGGCGGGTTGATGAGGAGGACTTCAGATTTGGAGGTGTTGAGCTGTAAAAAGTTGTGGGCCATCCAACGGTTCACATCGTTAAAACAGTCGACCACAGCAGCCAGACTTCCAGGGTCGTTTGGTCTCAGCGGGAGGTAGATCTGTGTGTCGTCCGCATAGCAGTGGAAGGACACGTTATGACGGGCCATGGCGTGTCCTAGGGGGAGCATATAAATAGAAAATAAAATGGGACCTAAAATAGAACCTTGCGGCACACCACAGGTAATGGGGGCTGTAGAGGAGGTAAAATCACCCATGGTGACCGCAAAGGTTCTGTCTAAAAGATAAGAATGAAACCAACCAAGTGCAGTATCTCTGATGCCAACCCACGTTTTGAGGCGATCCAATAAAATCCTGTGGTCGATCGTGTCGAAGGCTGCGCTTAGGTCTAAAAGAATTAAAATAGAGCACCCTCCGCTGTCTGTGGTTAAAAGAAGGTCATTTAAAACTCTAAGGAGGGCTGTCTCTGTACTGTGTTGTGCTTTAAAACCTGATTGGAATTTCTCAAAGATGTGGTTCTCATTAATAAAATCTAAAATCTGAATTGAAACAATTTTCTCAAAAACTTTGGATAAAAAAGGAAGTTTTGAAATGGGTCTAAAATTGTTAAAATCAGTAGTGCTTAAATTAGGCTTCTTTAAATCCTCATCATATGTCATCATTTAAGACATTCTCGGGGAACCTTTTGTGGCTTATTGACTAGAGCCGGCCGTGGTGTTGCTAAATATACACAGATGTACACGGGCTATTTGCAGCTTCACGAGAGGAGGCTGTGTCCCCCCCTCCTCAGATTACAGCGTCTGACATGGTCCCAGTCCAAGCTTGTTCCTGGCCCTCATGTAGTCCTGTTTCAATCTGGTTTGAGATATTTAAATCTGTTGTCTCGTTCTTAGTTTGAAATCTTCAGGTGAAATCAGGTTTTTCCCTGTTTCCTCCCTGGATTCGTATTTATTGAGTTTCCAACAAAGAGAAGATGGTCCGAGAATCTGCCCCTCCACAAGAGAGTTCTATGGACGGAGAGGTAAGCAACTATTCACTCTCTCTCAGAAGACAAACTCAATCAGATCTGAAGTAGTACTGGATTTTTTTAAGCTGTTTCAAGGCTTGTCATGATAATCACTACATTGACCCATTGTTCAATAACTGATTAATAAAAATACAATGTATTTTGGGCCTCAGTGAATATTGTCAGTACATTTTCATTGCAAAAATTAGCAAGGTGCTGGGTTCAGTTCCATCCCTATCGTTGTGGGGTCCAATGCTCTCCCTATGTCTGTGTGGGCTCCTGTAAAATTATAATACAAAAAACAACTACTTCTCACATTGTACAAACTGCTCGGCCTCCTCTCAAGTGACTCACTTATTTGTTTTTTACTTTTGTTTGTGGGTCTTTGTCGATGCAGGAGGGTCTTGGGACAGGGATCCAGGACATTAACATTAATATTAACACATTAACATTTATGGACAATGGTTCCCTATGGACCAATGGTTCCTATGTGTTATTATTGCAGATCTTGTGTTCTAACTATTTGATTCTCTGATCTGTTTTTGAATGGATCCACAACTTTGTAAAGTCCTCTTAGACGACTGCTCTTGCGATTTATGGCTATGCCAAAATAAATGCAGGAAATTATATGAATTAATGCATTTCTGGCTTGTTGGGCAGATGATTGACGTTTTGATCATCGGCTCTGGACCTCACGCTTTGACCCTGTCCACGCTGCTCTGTGGCCTGAGCCCCTCACCTCTCACTGGGCAGGATGCTGCAATGTCGCCCCCGAGTTCAGAAACCCCCAAGCTTCACAAAGCACCGGGTCGCAGCCGCAGGAGGAGCAGAACTTCAACAGGTCGACTTTCGTTTATCTACAGTATCTGACAAAAGGAGCCTCATAGAGTAAACATGGCATCTCAACAGTGTCATGCAAGCAGACCTCTCAAAACAATAACGCACTCTCTGCTTGTATTTCAGATGTGTAGATTACTCCGCAAGTAGTCCGGCCAATCGGATACATTATACATATACATTCTTAACACACATGCACGGGGGTTTTCAGAATTATCTGTTTTCATGACAAAAATACTGTTTTAATGTGACAAAAAGCGATAGTGGTAAACCCGGAAGTAAGCATTAACATGAAATAACCTTTTAATACACATTTGCAGAGGATCGAATTATGGATTTAGGTTGAGCTCATATATGGGTCACTCACCGCTGATGTTCAGAATTCTTTGTTCCGTTTTCATGTAGAGTTGTAGTTTTGAAGTTGCTAGCCTAACTGTTACTTGCCTGCCATGGGAAAACCTTTGGGAACTATTTTATTTGCAGTCATTAAATAAACTTTTCAGCATTCATAAAAGTGGACTGTAGTTTATTTTGTGTGCTCGGTTGGTACAAATCCGTTTAATAAGCGGGATAATCTAGCTGTGCGTCGGGGTCCGCTCCGCCCTGTCGATACTTATTGTCTGATAATGACGGATCAGAGAATTTAACAATTAGAAGATGCAACGTCAAATCTTTTTTTCTATAAATGAAATACAAGCACCTCTTGGCTGTCATGAATGTGCTGGTGTTGGTTTGTAGCTGCAGCAGGAGTGGAGCTTCCAGCCCCCACACAGGCCTCGCTGGCCCCTGGCTGCAGGCTCTCGGTGGTGGACTCGTATGGGCGCTGGGCAGCTCTGTGGGAGGGTCAGTTTGCAGCTCTCAACATCCCTCACCTGCGCTCGCACGCTCTGGTGCACACGGACCCCTTCCACAAGGTCAGACCACATCATTTCAATGTTCTTCATACTAATCATCAACTTTTTACAGACAGAAAAGTGAAAATTAATATGAAATCTACCTTGTGTGATGTCATCAGTGATAGAACCCTGCTCTACTCTTATTGTCAATGTCAACATATTTCACTTTTTTTTACAAACTGGTGACACCAAAATTTGTTTGCTCCGGGATTTTGTTTGGCGCTCTGGGAGCGCCAAATAAAATCTGTTCTATTTTCCAAATTTCCAAAAATACATGAAAAATCATGGTCCGCATGAGTTTCCTCCGCATAATGGGTGGGCGCTCCCTCAGAGATAGAGAGAGGAGCTCAGTCGGACGGGTGGAGCTCAGTCGCACGGGTGGAGCTCAGTCGCACGGGTGGAGCTCAGTCGCACGGGTGGAGCTCAGTCGCAAGGAGGAGCTCAGTCGCACGGGTGGAGCTCAGTCGCAGGGAGGAGCTCACGATAGACCCACTGCTTCTCCATTTCGAGAGGAGCCAGTTCAGGGGGCTGAGGTATCTCTAAGGCAGGGGTGTCGCACTCTTTTTGGTCAGGGGCCAAATAAAAAAATAGGAACTGGTTGGGGCCGAAACAATAGAAGAGATTTCCTTTTCTTACCATAGTTTTTTACATTAGGAAGGTATTCTAATGTGACGTTGTGAGTTTCACTGTTATTTTCTTGTTGATTTTTGTGAAAACAAAATGCGTTTATTTTTTAGATTGAACCAAAACTGGATCAAATATAAAGTTAAACACATTTTATATTGACCTATTTAACTTCTAATAATGTGTTATTGGATTAAAATGTTAGAATATATTAAATTTGGTTGGTGTCCTGAGAAAATAAATGATGTATGACCTTCCTTTGTCGCCCATTGCCATCGCCCTTAAGTTAATAATACAAATGTTAGGGACCACTAAAAATTGTCGTGCAGGCCGCATCTGGCCCCCGGGCCTTGACTTTGACACCTACTGTATGCTCTAAGGGATGCCTGGGGACGCCTTCTGTTCTTGTCTCACTGGGAGGAGACCAGGTGAAGACCCAAGACACACTAGAGCAAGGATTTCAAAGTCTAAGCACATTGCATATAACCTATTGAACCAATACCTAACACAGTGTACCATCTTTTATTTGATGATTAAACGATTAATCCAATATCTTTGTAGACATTATCAGTTATTTCAAGTGAGTTTGTTTTCAACAGGCTCACAGTAAAAAACAAACTTACTTTAATGAGAAAATACATTAAACATTAAATGAATAATATCATATTATATATTAGAGGGAATGTGTCTCTCAGCTGGCCCTGGAACACCTTGGGATTCCCCAAGATGAGCTGGGATGAGCTGGGGGAAGCGTGTGTGGAGAGGAAAGTCTGGGCATCTCTGCTTAGACAGCTGCCCCTGTGACCTGGGAACAGATAAAGCAGGAAAATGGATGAATGGACAGTTCTTCATGTGTCGCTAGTAAAGCAGGAATATATTTTAATAAAAAAGAAATAATTTTTCAACTGTAAAGGGTCTAAAAACTGGGGACATTCATCCATCTGAACCTCCGTACATGTGTCTTATTTGCTTCAGACACTCTCTGTGTGGATTGAGAGGACTAATGCCCACAATTGTAAAGCATTTTGTGACTTTGGTCTGTGAAAGGTGCTATATAAATGATTACTTACTTATTTACTTTAATTTTGTTTTTTGGATCATTTCTCTGGTCAGACAGCCTTACAGGACTTTGCAGTGGAGTCTGGCCGGTCCTCTGAGCTCCACTCTCTCCCAGATAAAGTTTACATTTTGGATGAAAACGCGTATTTCAACGACATGCGTCTGGGGAAGAAGGAGAAGAGGCGCCTCAATGTCTCGTCCACGTTGAAGAACAACCCGAGCTTCGGTCTCCCCTCGACCAAACTCAGCGTGGACTTTTTCCAAAACCAGGTCACGGTCTGAGGTCTCGGTGTGACGCTGCCTCTAACTGCACTGGACAGGTTGGAATGCTTTGTATGCTGTGACATTATTGTTAATTTTGGGCATTTGTCTCTCACTCCACACAGAGATGGGAGCGGGGTCGCCAGTACAGGAGGCACATGCCAGAACTATTGGACATATTTTTTTTTTAGTGGTAGGGGAAACCGGAGTACCCGGAGGAAACCTACGCAGACACGGGGAGAACATGCAAACTCCACTCAGAAAGGCCCTGGTCCGGCCGGGATTCGAACCCAGGACCTTCTTGCTGAGAGGCGAGAGTGCTATCCACTCAGCCACCGTGCCGCCCAGGCTAAGCAGACGCTAAGCAGGTCTGATAGTTACAGACCCCAGCTTTTATTGTTAAAAGCCACAGACTTGTCAAACACATTTAGTAAGAAGTTCTAGTATCTGTTCCTGATTTCCCCCTGACCCGCTTGTCCAATAGAATCACTCACAGCATAATTCTGGTTCAAGCGGAGCTGCAGCCTCAGGCCCACACGCACACGTCCCTACTCTCTCTCTCTCTCTCTCCATAGTGACGTCACACGTCCCAAAGAGCCGAGTTTCACATTGTGGTGAAGGGCAGCGGAGAGATCTCTTCTCTGGTCTCTCTCTGGTCTCTGTATCTGGTCTCTATCTCTGGTCTCTTTCTCTGGTTTCTCTCTGGTCTTTCTCTGGTCTCTCTCTGGTTTCTCTCTGGTCTTTCTCTGGTCTCTCTCTCTGGTCTCTCTCTGGTCTTTCTCTGGTCTCTCTCTCTGGTCTCTCTCTGGTTTCTCTCTGGTCTCTCTCTGGTCTCCCTCTGGTCTCTCTCTGGTCTCTCTCTGGTCTCTCTCTGGTCTCCCTCTGGTCTCTCTCTGGTCTCGCTCTGGTCTCGCTCTGGTCTCGCTCTGGTCTCTCTCTCTGGTCTCTCTCTGGTCTCTCTAGCTGGTCTCTCTCTGGTCTTTCTCTGGTCTCTCTCTGGTCTCCCTATCCTCTCTGGTCTCTTTCTCAAAAATACATAATGTGAAATCAGAGCCAGGAACTAGAGAAATGGATTATTATATAGTTAAATGATTTGTGGTGTGAAAGTTACGTTCCTCCGCTTTAAAGTGCTGAACCATAAGCGGTGGAGGCCGTGTGAGCGCGGCCTCCACGGCGCAGCTCCAGGTCTGCCTCTCACCCTCTGTGCTCCACCAATGAGAGGCTGGTGTCCTCTGTGCTCACGCCGGGCCGTGTGCCTTTAAAGCCCGCAGCAGCAGCTCCTTCACTGCGCACACTTCTTTCCCGGAGCTCAGTGACCTTCTGCGGCTGCTGTCCTCCTCCTCCTCCTGCGCCTCCTCCTCCTGCACCTCCTCTAACCCAGACATGAGCAGCTCGTTGGTGGGAGACGAGGTCGGGTAAGGATCATAATTCTCCTTTTTATTCATATCAAAAGCTAAACTTTGTTGTTGTTGTGATGTTGCAGCTAATGCTACTGTATCTTCAAACACCTCCATCTTTCCTTCTTTGACCTTGATACAAATGAACGGCACTTTATAGATTTTAAAAAGTAAATAATAAACACGGAGTCACGTGACACGTGTTTCAGACAGAGGAAGGACTGAGGGTTTGTCTTGTTTCGGACGCAGCTGTCATTAGGAGCTATGCTAGCGTTAGCCCGGAGGAGACAGCGTGGCCATGGCAACGGGAGTAACACTGATGCTTTCTACATCTGCACTGCAACACTGGCATTTCCCGCGCTCACCCCTATTAGTCAGTCTTAAAGGACTGACTAATAGTCTTAAGTCACAGTCTTAAAGGATATATATATATATATATATATATATTATATATATATATATATATATTATAGTGAAGGGACTTGATTAAAAAAAATAATCTAACTAGAGGCTTTGTGATGAATTAATCACAAATTAATATTTGTCCTGAAAACAGTGAGAATGGATTTTTAGTATAACACCGACCTCCTCCTCCTCCTCCTCACACTCTGACCTCCTCCTCCTCCTCCTCACACTCTGACCTCCTCCTCCTCCTCCTCACACTCTGACCTCCTCCTCCTCCTCCTCACACTCTGACCTCCTCCTCCTCCTCCTCACACTCTGACCTCCTCCTCCTCCTCCTCACACTCTGACCTCCTCCTCCACACACTCTGACCTCCTCCTCCTCACACTCTGACCTCCTCCTCCTCCTCCTCACACTCTGACCTCCTCCTCCTCCTCACACTCTGACCTCCTCCTCCTCACACTCTGACCTCCTCCTCCTCACACTCTGACCTCCTCCTCCTCACACTCTGACCTCCTCCTCCTCCTCACACTCTGACCTCCTCCTCCTCACACTCTGACCTCCTCCTCCTCCTCACACTCTGACCTCCTCCTCCTCACACTCTGACCTCCTCCTCCTCCTCACACTCTGACCTCCTCCTCCTCCTCCTCACACTCTGACCTCCTCACACTCTGTCCTCCTCCTCCTCCTCACACTCTGACCTCCTCCTCCTCACACTCTGACCTCCTCCTCCTCCTCCTCACACTCTGACCTCCTCCTCCTCCTCCACACACTCTGACCTCCTCCTCCTCACACTCTGACCTCCTCCTCCTCCTCCTCACACTCTGACCTCCTCCTCCTCCTCACACTCTGACCTCCTCCTCCTCACACTCTGACCTCCTCCTCCTCCTCACACTCTGACCTCCTCCTCCTCACACTCTGACCTCCTCCTCCTCCACCTCACACTCTGACCTCCTCCTCCTCCTCCTCACACTCTGACCTCCTCCTCCTCCTCCTCACACTCTGAACTCCTCCTCCTCCTCCTCACACTCTGACCTCCTCCTCCTCCACACACTCTGACCTCCTCCTCCTCCTGCACACACTCTGACCTCCTCCTCCTCCTCCTCACACTCTGACCTCCCTCCTCCTCCTCCTCACACTCTGACCTCCTCCTCCTCCTCCACACACTCTGACCTCCTCCTCCTCCTCACACTCTGAACTCCTCCTCCTCCTCCACACACTCTGTCCTCCTCCTCCTCCTCCTCACACTCTGACCTCCTCCTCCTCCTCCTCACACTCTGACCTCCTCCTCCTCCACACACTCTGACCTCCACCTCCCTCCTCCACACACTCTGACCTCCTCCTCCTCCTCACACTCTGACCTCCTCCTCCTCCTCACACTCTGACCTCCTCCTCCTCACACTCTGACCTCCTCCTCCTCCTCACACTCTGACCTCCTCCTCCTCACACTCTGACCTCCTCCTCCTCCTCCTCACACTCTGACCTCCTCCTCCTCCTCCTCACACTCTGACCTCCTCCTCCTCCTCCTCACACTCTGTCCTCCTCCTCCTCCTCCACACACTCTGACCTCCTCCTCCTCACACTCTGACCTCCTCCTCCTCCTCCTCACACTCTGACCTCCTCCTCCTCCTCCACACACTCTGACCTCCTCCTCCTCACACTCTGACCTCCTCCTCCTCCTCCTCACACTCTGACCTCCTCCTCCTCCTCACACTCTGACCTCCTCCTCCTCACACTCTGACCTCCTCCTCCTCCTCACACTCTGACCTCCTCCTCCTCACACTCTGACCTCCTCCTCCTCCTCCTCACACTCTGACCTCCTCCTCCTCCTCCTCCTCACACTCTGACCTCCTCTTCCTCCTCCTCACACTCTGAACTCCTCCTCCTCCTCCTCACACTCTGACCTCCTCCTCCTCCTCCACACACTCTGACCTCCTCCTCCTCCTCCTCACACTCTGACCTCCTCCTCCTCCTCCTCACACTCTGACCTCCTCCTCCTCCTCCACACACTCTGACCTCCTCCTCCTCCTCACACTCTGAACTCCTCCTCCTCCTCCACACACTCTGTCCTCCTCCTCCTCCTCCTCACACTCTGACCTCCTCCTCCTCCTCCTCACACTCTGACCTCCTCCTCCTCCACACACTCTGACCTCCACCTCCTCCTCCACACACTCTGACCTCCTCCTCCTCCTCACACTCTGACCTCCTCCTCCTCCTCACACTCTGACCTCCTCCTCCTCCTCCCTCACACTCTGACCTCCTCCTCCTCCTCACACTCTGACCTCCTCCTCCTCCTCCACACACTCTGACCTCCTCCTCCTCCTCCTCACACTCTGACCTCCTCCTCCTCCACACACTCTGACCTCCACCTCCTCCTCCACACACTCTGACCTCCTCCTCCTCCTCACACTCTGACCTCCTCCTCCTCCTCACACTCTGACCTCCTCCTCCTCCTCACACTCTGACCTCCTCCTCCTCCTCACACTCTGACCTCCTCCTCCTCACACTCTGACCTCCTCCTCCTCCTCCACACACTCTGACCTCCTCCTCCTCCACACACTCTGACCTCCTCCTCCTCACACTCTGACCTCCTCCTCCTCCTCCACACACTCTGACCTCCTCCTCCTCACACTCTGACCTCCTCCTCCTCCTCACACTCTGACCTCCTCCTCCTCCTCACACTCTGACCTCCTCCTCCTCACACTCTGACCTCCACCTCCTCCTCCACACACTCTGACCTCCTCCTCCTCACACTCTGACCTCCTCCTCCTCCTCCACACACTCTGACCTCCTCCTCCTCCTCACACTCTGACCTCCTCCTCCTCACACTCTGACCTCCTCCTCCTCCTCACACTCTGACCTCCTCCTCCTCCTCCTCACACTCTGACCTCCTCCTCCTCACACTCTGACCTCCTCCTCCTCACACTCTGACCTCCTCCTCCTCACACTCTGACCTCCTCCTCCTCCTCCCACACACTCTGACCTCCTCCTCCTCACACTCTGACCTCCTCCTCCTCACACTCTGACCTCCTCCTCCTCCTCCTCCTCACACTCTGACCTCCTCCTCCTCCTCCTCCTCACACTCTGACCTCCACCTCCTCCTCCTCACACTCTGACCTCCACCTCCTCCTCCTCACACTCTGACCTCCTCCTCCTCCTCCTCACACTCTGACCTCCTCCTCCTCACACTCTGACCTCCTCCTCCTCCTCCACACACTCTGACCTCCTCCTCCTCCTCACACTCTGACCTCCTCCTCCTCCTCCTCACACTCTGACCTCCACCTCCTCCTCCACACACTCTGACCTCCTCCTCCTCACACTCTGACCTCCTCCTCCTCACACTCTGACCTCCTCCTCACACTCTGACCTCCTCTTCCTCCTCACACTCTGACCTCCTCCTCCTCCACACACTCTGACCTCCTCCTCCTCACACTCTGACCACCTCCTCCTCACACTCTGACCTCCTCCTCCTCCTCCTCCTCACACTCTGACCTCCTCCTCCTCCTCACACTCTGACCTCCTCCTCCTCCTCACACTCTGACCTCCTCCTCCTCCTCACACTCTGACCTCCTCCTCCTCCTCACACTCTGACCTCCTCCTCCTCCTCACACTCTGACCTCCTCCTCCTCCTCCTCACACTCTGACCTCCTCCTCCTCACACTCTGACCTCCACACACTCTGACCTCCTCCTCCTCCTCCTCACACTCTGACCTCCTCCACACACTCTGACCTCCTCCTCCTCCTCCACACACTCTGACCTCCTCCTCCTCCACACACTCTGACCTCCTCCTCCTCACACTCTGACCTCCTCCTCCTCCACACACTCTGACCTCCACCTCCTCCTCCACACACTCTGACTTCCACCTCCTCCTCCTCACACTCTGACCTCCTCCTCCTCCTCCACACTCTCTGACCTCCTCCTCCTCCTCCACACACTCTGACCTCCTCCTCCTCACACTCTGACCTCCTCCTCCTCCTCCACACACTTTGACCTCCTCCTCCTCCTCCTCACACTCTGTCCTCCTCCTCCTCCTCACACTCTGTCCTCCTCCTCCTCCTCACACTCTGACCTCCTCCTCCTCCTCACACTCTGACCTCCTCCTCCTCCTCCTCACACTCTGACCTCCTCCTCCTCACACTCTGACCTCCTCCTCCTCCTCACACTCTGACCTCCTCCTCCTCCTCACACTCTGTCCTCCTCCTCCTCTTCACACTCTGACCTCCTCCTCCTCCTCCTCACACTCTGACCTCCTCCTCCTCACACTCTGACCTCCTCCTCCTCACACTCTGTCCTCCTCCTCCTCCTCACACTCTGTCCTCCTCCTCCTCCTCACACTCTGACCTCCTCCTCCTCCACACACTCTGACCTCCTCCTCCTCCTCACACTCTTTCCTCCTCCTCCTCCTCCTCACACTCTGTCCTCCTCCTCCTCCACACACTCTGACCTCCTCCTCCTCCACACACTCTGACCTCCTCCTCCTCCTCACACTCTGTCCTGCTCCTCCTCCACACACTCTGTCCTCCACCTCCTCCTCACACTCTGACCTCCACCTCCTCCTCACACTCTGACCTCCTCCTCCTCCACACACTCTGTCCTCCTCCTTCTCCTCACACTCTGACCTCCTCCTCCTCCACACACTCTGACCTCCTCCTCCTCCTCCTCACACTCTGACCTCCTCCTCCTCCACACACTCTGACCTCCTCCTCCTCACACTCTGACCTCCTCCTCCTCCACACACTCTGACCTCCTCCTCCTCCTCCTCACACTCTGACCTCCTCCTCCTCACACTCTGACCTCCTCCTCCTCCTCCACACACTCTGACCCCCTCCTCCTCCTCCACACTCTGACCTCCACCTCCACACACTCTGACCTCCTCCTCCTCACACTCTGACCTCCTCCTCCTCCACACACTCTGACCTCCTCCTCCTCCTCCACACACTCTGACCTCCTCCTCCTCCTCCACACACTCTGACCTCCTCCTCCTCCTCCACACACTCTGACCTCCTCCTCCACACACTCTGACCTCCTCCTCCTCCTCCACACACTCTGACCTCCTCCTCCTCCACACACTCTGACCTCCTCCTCCTCCACACACTCTGACCTCCTCCTCCTCCACACACTCTGACCTCCTCCTCCTCCACACACTCTGACCTCCTCCTCCTCCACACACTCTGACCTCCTCCTCCTCCACACACTCTGACCTCCTCCTCCTCCACACACTCTGACCTCCTCCTCCTCCTCCTCACACTCTGACCTCCTCCTCCTCCACACACTCTGACCTCCTCCTCCTCCTCCACACACTCTGACCTCCTCCTCCTCCTCCACACACTCTGACCTCCTCCTCCTCCACACACTCTGACCTCCTCCTCCTCCACACACTCTGACCTCCTCCTCCTCCACACACTCTGACCTCCTCCTCCTCCACACACTCTGACCTCCTCCTCCTCCACACACTCTGACCTCCTCCTCCTCCTCACACTCTGACCTCCTCCTCCTCCTCACACTCTGTCCTCCTCCTCCTCACACTCTGACCTCCTCCTCCTCCACACACTCTGACCTCCTCCTCCTCCACACACTCTGACCTCCTCCTCCTCCTCCTCACACTCTGACCTCCTCCTCCTCACACTCTGACCTCCTCCTCCTCCTCCACACACTCTGACCTCCTCCTCCTCCTCCACACACTCTGACCTCCTCCTCCTCCTCCACACACTCTGACCTCCTCCTCCTCCTCCTCACACTCTGACCTCCTCCTCCTCCTCCTCACACTCTGACCTCCTCCTCCTCCTCCACACACTCTGACCTCCTCCTCCTCCTCCACACACTCTGACCTCCTCATCCTCCTCCACACTCTGACCTCCACCTCCACACACTCTGACCCTCCTCCTCCTCCACACACTCTGACCTCCTCCTCCTCCTCACACTCTGACCTCCTCCTCCTCCTCCACACACTCTGACCTCCTCCTCCTCCTCCTCACACTCTGACCTCCTCCTCCTCCTCCACACACTCTGACCTCCTCCTCCTCCTCCACACACTCTGACCTCCTCCTCCTCCTCCACACACTCTGACCTCCTCCTCACACTCTGACCCCCTCATCCTCCTCCACACTCTGACCTCCTCCACCTCCACACACTCTGACCTCCTCCTCCTCCACACACTCTGACCTCCTCCTCCTCCTCACACTCTGACCTCCTCCTCCTCCTCCACACACTCTGACCTCCTCCTCCTCCTCCACACACTCTGACCCCCTCATCCTCCTCCACACTCTGACCTCCTCCTCCTCCACACACTCTGACCTCCTCCTCCTCCACACACTCTGACCTCCTCCTCCTCCACACACTCTGACCTCCTCCTCCTCCTCACACTCTGACCTCCTCCTCCACACACTCTGACCTCCTCCTCCTCCTCCTCACACTCTGACCTCCTCCTCCTCCTCCTCACACTCTGACCTCCTCCTCCTCCTCCTCACACTCTGACCTCCTCCTCCTCCTCCTCCACACTCTGACCTCCTCCTCCTCCTCCTCCACACTCTGACCTCCTCCTCCTCCTCACACTCTGACCTCCTCCTCCTCCTCACACTCTGACCTCCTCCTCCTCCTCACACTCTGACCTCCTCCTCCTCCTCACACTCTGCCTCCTCCTCCCCACTCTGACCTCCTCCTCACACTCTGACCTCTCCTCCTCCTCCTCACACTCTGACCTCCTCCTCCTCCTCACACTCTGACCTCCTCCTCCTCCTCACACTCTGACCTCCTCCTCCTCACACTCTGACCTCCCTCCTCCTCCTCCTCCTCACACTCTGACCTCCTCCTCCTCCACACTCTGACCTCTCCTCCTCTCCTCCTCCTCACACTCTGACCCCTCCTCCCACACTCTGACCTCCTCCTCCACACACTCTGACCTCCTCCTCCACACTCTGACCTCCTCCTCTCTCCTCCCTCACACTGACCTCCTCCTCCTCCTCACACTCCCTCCACTCACTCCTCCTCCTCACACCTCCTCCCTCCTCCTCTCTTACACTCTGTCCTCCTCCTCCTCCTCACACTCTGTCCTCCTCCTCCTCCTCACACTCTGTCCTCCTCCTCCTCCTCACACTCTGTCCTCCTCCCTCCTCACACTGTCTCCTCCTCCTCCTCACACTCTGTCCTCCTCCTTCTCACACTCTGTCTCCTCCTCCTCCTCACACACTCTGACCTCCTCCCTCCTCCTCCTCACACTCTGACCTCCTCCTCCTCCTCCTCCTCCTCACACTCTGACCTCCTCCTCCTCCTCCTCCTCACACTCTGTCCTCCTCCTCACACTCTGTCCTCCTCCTCACACTCTGTCCTCCTCCTCACACTCTGTCCTCCCTCCTCCTCACACCCTGACCTCCTCCTCCTCCACACACTCTGACCCCCTCCTCCTCCACACACTCTGACCTCCTCCTCCTCCATACACTCTGACCTCCTCCTCCTCCATACACTCTGACCTCCTCCTCCACACACTCTGACCTCTCCTCCTCCTCCACACACTCTGACCTCCTCCTCCACACACTCTGACCTCCTCCTCCACACACTCTGACCTCCTCCTCCTCCTCCACACACTCTGACCCTCCTCCTCCTCTCTACCTCCTCCTCCTCACACTCTGACCTCCTCCTCCTCCTCACACTCTGACCTCCTCCTCCTCCTCACACTCTGTCCTCCTCCTCCTCCTCACACTCTGACCTCCTCCTCCTCCTCCTCACACTCTGACCTCCTCCTCCTCCTCCTCACACTCTGACCTCCTCCTCCTCCACACACTCTGACCTCCTCCTCCTCCACACACTCTGACCTCCTCCTCCACACACTCTGACCTCCTCCTCCTCCTCCACACACTCTGACCTCCTCCTCCTCCTCCACACACTCTGACCTCCTCCTCCTCCTCCACACACTCTGACCTCCTCCTCCTCACACTCTGACCTCCTCCTCCTCACACTCTGACCTCCTCCTCCTCCTCACACTCTGACCTCCTCCTCCTCCTCACACACTCTGACCTCCTCCTCCTCCTCACACTCTGTCCTCCTCCTCCTCCTCACACTCTGACCTCCTCCTCCTCCTCCCTCACACTCTGACCTCCTCCTCCTCCTCCTCACACTCTGACCCTCCTCCTCCTCCTCACACTCTGACCTCCTCCTCCTCCTCCTCCTCACACTCTGACCTCCTCCTCCTCCTCACACTCTGACCTCCTCCTCCTCCTCCTCCTCACACTCTGACCTCCTCCCTCCTCCTCCTCACACTGCCCTCCTCCTCCTCACACTCTGACCTCCTCCTCCTTCTCACACTCTGACCTCCTCCTCCTCCTCACACTCTGACCTCCTCCTCCTCACACTCTGACCTCCTCCTCCTCCTCCTCCTCACACTCTGACCTCCTCCTCCTCCTCCACACACTCTGACCTCCTCCTCCTCCTCCACACACTCTGACCCCCTCCTCCTCCTCCACACACTCTGACCCCCTCCTCCTCCTCCTCACACTCTGACCCCCTCCTCCTATATATAAAAATATAAAATCCCTCAGTTGTAGCACAGCTAAAGCCTGGTTCACACGAGACGATTTTAAAATTGTCGGCCGATTTTTCTCCGTGTTAGACCCCACACGGGGAGATTAAAAATCCTGCGTCTAACCACTTTGGTCGTGCAGTGTGTGGTGCGTAGCCACACGGCAAGATCACGCAAGCCACAAACATCACACACGAACCGACACCCCCCCCACCGAGCATTCCCAGGTCAGACGGAAATCTCACAAAGTCTCTCGAGATCAAGCGTGACTTCAGAGTAAACAGTCATGGCGGACGAAGAGGATGCAGTGGCGATAGTGTGCAGTTTGTTGTTAACAGAGAAGAGACGTAATCCAAAGAAAAGGCAATGGTCAAAGCCATGCTGCTGTGTTTTGGTTTTTTTCCGGTGTTTCCTCACCGGCTTGTCACCTCGTCTTCTTATTGGCTACACGCCGTAGTCATGGCAACGCGCTCGCTTGTCCTCGGAGGACACCACACACGACCAGAAATCGGGCCAAAACAATCCAACATGTTGGATATCCCCGATTTGAGATCGGGAGCAGTCCCGATGTCCTTCCGAGCGACGAGTGCAGTCTTAACACACCACACACGGCAGGATAATCTGTAAGATTTTGTTACGGAAATCGGAGCGTTTCTTAAGATTGTCGTAAGGGGTAAATCGGGTCTAAATCGGCCTAAATATCCTGCCGTGTGAACCAGGCTTAAACAGAACTGTCTTTAACCTGGTTTTAAACATTGTCAGAGAGGAGGCCTGTCTCACATCTTCAGGAAGACTGTTCCAGATTTTAGCAGCATGAATCTGAAAAGCAGCCTCCCCATGTTTAGTTCTGACTCTGGGCACTAACAGGAGTCCAGTCCCTGTGCTCCTCAGAGTCCCAGCAGGAGTCCAGTCCCTGTGCTCCTCAGAGTCCCAGCAGGAGTCCAGTCCCTGTGCTCCTCAGAGTCCCAGCAGGAGTCCAGTCCCTGTGCTCCTCAGAGTCCCAGCAGGAGTCCAGTCCCTGTGCTCCTCAGAGTCCCAGCAGGAGTCCAGTCCCTGTGCTCCTCAGAGTCCCAGCAGGAGTCCAGTCCCTGTGCTCCTCAGAGTCCCAGCAGGAGTCCAGTCCCTGTGCTCCTCAGAGTCCCAGCAGGAGTCCTGTCCCTGTGCTCCTCAGAGTCCCAGCAGGAGCCCAGTCCCTGTGCTCCTCAGAGTCCCAGCAGGAGTCCAGTCCCTGTGCTCCTCAGAGTCCGGGCTGGTTCATATGGGACTAACATGTCACTAATATTTTTTGGCAGCTCACACACCTCCTCCTCCGCCTCCGCTGACACAGGAGTCACTTGCTCCTCCTCCTCACACACACAGGAGTCACTTGCTCCTCCTCCTCACACAGGGTCAATGCTCCATACACAGCGCTCTTTCCCGTCTCTAACTCACTCAGATTGAGACACTGCTAAAGTTGGTCTGTGCTTGTTATAATGTAATTTTGAATTTTGAAGAAAAGTCACGGCGCTCGAGTTGGCGCTCCGGTATAATCTGTCCGTCTGGAACTCATCCTCCAGTGAGGAAGGTTCAACGGTGGAAAAAACACATGCAATTAAAATGCAATTAATTTTTTTAACGCGCTAATTTTTTAGGCGTTAATTAATCGTAATTAACGTGTTAAAGTCCCGGCCCTAATATATATGTATGTGTATATATATAGATACAGTGGGGCAAAAAAGTATTTAGTCAGCCACCGATTGTGAAAGTTCTCCCACTTAAAATAATGACAGAGGTCTGTAATGTTCATCATAGGTTCACTCCAACTGTGAGAGACAGAATGTGAAAAAAAAAATCCAGGAATTCACATTGTAGGATTTTTAAAGAATTTATTTGTAAATGATGGTGGAAAATAAGTATTTGGTCACTTCTCTGGCTCTCACAGACCTGTAACTTCTTCTTTAAGAAGCTCTTCTGTCCTCCACTCGTTACCTGTATTAATGGCACCTGTTTGAACTCATCTGTATAAAAGACACCTGTCCACAGCCTCAAACAGTCAGACTCCAAACTCCACTATGGCCAAGACCAAAGAGCTGTCCAAGGACACCAGGAAAAGAATTGTAGACCTGAGAGTGAATCTACAATAGGCAAGCAGCTTGGTGTGAACAAATCAACTGTGGGAGCAATTATCAGAAAATGGAAGACATACAAGACCACTGATAATCTCCCTCGATCGCAAGATCTCATCCTGTGGGGTCAAAATGATCATGAGAACGGTGATCAAAAATCCCAGAACCACACGGGGGGACCTGGTGAATGACCTGCAGAGAGCTGGGACCAAAGTAACAAAGGTTACCATCAGTAACACACTACGACAACAGGGAATCAAATCCTGCAGTGCCAGACGTGTCCCCCTGCTGAAGCCAGTGCATGTCCAGGCCCGTCTGAAGTTTGCCAGAGAGCACATGGATGATACAGCAGAGGATTGGGAGAATGTCATGTGGTCAGATGAAACCAAAGTACAACTGTTTGGTATAAACTCAACTCGTCGTGTTTGGAGGAAGAAGAATACTGAGTTGGATCCCAAGAACACCATACCTACTGTGAAGCATGGGGGTGGAAACGTCATGCTTTGGGGCTGTTTTTCTGCTAAGGGGACAGGACGACTGAACGGTGTTAAGGAAAGAATGAATGGGGCCATGTATCGTGAGATTTTGAGCCAAAACCTCCTTCCATTGAGTTGAATTTGTGTTATTGACCAAATACTTATTTTAACTTGCACAATCGGTGGCTGACGAAATACTTTTTTGCCCCACTGTATATTTATGTATATTTATATTGCGCCATTAGCGATGAGACGTTTATAAATAAATCAAAAAGCAATATGAAACAAGAGTGAAACATGCACCAGAAGGAGCAGCGTCTGCAGTCAGAGCTCCCTGTAACTCCCTGAGCTGTCACCAGAGGGAGCAGTAGAAACAGCTCTGTCTGCTTCCCGTCAGTCGTGTGCAGTTTAAGTTTGAAAATCTCCGCCTGCAATCTCAGAGTGTGATGTCATAGTGATGTCATAGTGATGTCATGCACGCCTGGAGCCGCGGGGATTTGAAGTGCGCTCGTTTTATGAATGAGGAGTAAACCCAAAGACCTATGTGGACGCAGAGACCCATGTGCATGTGGACGCAGAGACCCATGTGCATGTGGACGCAGAGACCCATGTGCATGTGGACTCAGAGACCCATGTGCATGTGGACGCAGAGACCCATGTGCATGTGGACGCAGAGACCCATGTGCATGTGGACGCAGAGACCCATGTGCATGTGGACTCAGAGACCCATGTGCATGTGGACTCAGAGACCCATGTGCATGTGGACGCAGAGACCATGTGGACGCAGAGACCATGTGGACTCATACACATACTCACCGCCCACCTATTCTCATCCATCCATCTCCATTCCTAATCAGCCAATCACATGGCTGCAATTCGCAGCATTTAGACATGTAGACCTGGTCCAGACGATCTGCTGCAGCTCAAACCATCAGAATATATAATATTTTATATATTAAAATACTAATATATATATTATAAGTAGCGCTGGGACTTTAATGCATTAATTAAGATGAATTCATTACACAAGAATTAACGCGATAAAAAATTGTACGCATTTTATTCGCCATGTCCCTTTTTGCACCGCGGAACAATTCACTGGATGGGTTTCAGACGGACCGATTGTACTGGAGCACCGCACGACTTCCAGGCTTGTTCTCCACAAATCTAAGCTGTCTCCGAACCTCCCAATGACAGAAGAGACTCAGAGAATCGCTGTTCCCACTGTCTCTGAGAAAAGTGTGTTTCGGGCGGGTTCTGCGCAGTATCTTTGCTGTTCCGCTGTAACCTCCTTCACCTTCAGTGTCACTGCCCCGAGTGCACCATCACCACGGGCACTACTAACCCTAACCCTAACCCTTTACCCTCAGACTCTCTCACTACTGTCTCCTTTACCCTCAGACTCTCTCACTACTGTCTCCTTTACCTTCAGACTCTCTCACTACTGTCCTTTACCTTCAGACTCTCTCACTACTGTCTCCTTTACCTTCAGACTCTCTCACTACTGTCTCCTTTACCTTCAGACTCTCTCACTACTGTCTCCTTTACCTTCAGACTCTCTCACTACTGTCTCCTTTACCTTCAGACTCTCTCACTACTGTCTCCTTTACCTTCAGACTCTCTCACTACTGTCTCCTTTACCCTCAGACTCTCTCACTACTGTCTCCTTTACCTTCAGACTCTCTCACTACTGTCTCCTTTACCCTCAGACTCTCTCACTACTGTCTCCTTTACCTTCAGACTCTCTCACTACTGTCTCCTTTACCTTCAGACTCTCTCACTACTGTCTCCTTTACCTTCAGACTCTCTCACTACTGTCTTCTTTACCTTCAGACTCTCTCACTACTGTCTCCTTTACCTTCAGACTCTCTCACTACTGTCTCCTTTACCTTCAGACTCTCTCACTACTGTCTCCTTTACCTTCAGACTCTCTCACTACTGTCTCCTTTACCTTCAGACTCTCTCACTACTGTCTCCTTTACCTTCAGACTCTCTCACTACTGTCTTCTTTACCTTCAGACTCTCTCACTACTGTCTCCTTTACCTTCAGACTCTCTCACTACTGTCTCCTTTACCTTCAGACTCTCTCACTACTGTCTCCTTTACCTTCAGACTCTCTCACTACTGTCTCCTTTACCTTCAGACTCTCTCACTACTGTCTCCTTTACCTTCAGACTCTCTCACTACTGTCTCCTTTACCTTCAGACTCTCTCACTACTGTCTCCTTTACCTTCAGACTCTCTCACTACTGTCTCCTTTACCTTCAGACTCTCTCACTACTGTCTCCTTTACCTTCAGACTCTCTCACTACTGTCTCCTTTACCTTCAGACTCTCTCACTACTGTCTCCTTTACCTTCAGACTCTCTCACTACTGTCTTCTTTACCTTCAGACTCTCTCACTACTGTCTC